TGTGTGTGTGTGTGTGTGTGTGTGTGTGGCCAGCTCAGCCCACCAGGGGGCGGGGCTGGCTGGCATGTGGTGCTGGAGGATTGAACCATGGTCTCTGTGCTTTGCTAAGCTTGTTCTAAGTAGGTGCTCTAGACCACTGAGCCATCTCACCAGCCCCCTAAATGGGTTTTGACCTTGGTCATTTTGCCTGCCTCAGCCCCTGCTGAGTAGCTGGGATTGTAGATGTCTGTCACTGTGCCTGGTTTGGGGTCATCACTTTTGGGGAGGTAAAGAGCTGTTCCCGGAGCATCGTATCCAGGGTCCGTACTTATCAGTGGGCCGTATTCCTGCTGATGTTGAACTTGACTCCTGGCCATGGCTGAGATTTTCTCCCCGTCCATGTGCTTTTTTTTTTTTTTTTTTTTCGGAACCGGGGACTGAACTCAGGCCCTTGCACTTGCCAGGGAAGTGCTTATTCCACTGAACCATCTCCCTGGCCCTCCATGTGCTCTTTAGAGGGAAGTTGCCATGCTTGAGCTCCCCTGGAGGAGGAGGTGTTATGCTCCACTACCTTAAGGAGGGTGAACAGCTGCCTGAGTTACTTGACATGCTTCTTGGTCACAGTCACGGATTTACTTTTTTCTAGTTATTCTTCCGTATTAGTATGAACTCAAGCATAATTATGTTTTGCATTATCATCCAATGCTATTTATTTATTTTATTGCAAATTGTTCTCACTTTGGCAGTTGAGGGTTCTGTCTGGTGGCTGTGCTGTGCCTGGGACAGCCGCCAGCAGTGTGGGAATTGTTTCTTGAGGACTTCTTTCTTTCTGATGCTACAAGGTGCTCTAGTCACGTTGAGTGTGTTTTGCCGAACCCTAGATTCAGCCATTCTCCAAGCATGCTTGCATCTTTTTTTTTGGTACTGGGAATTGAACTCAGGACTTTGATCTTATCAGGCAAGCACTTAGGCTGGTCTCGAACTCGCAGTGATCCTCTTGCCTCTGCCTCCCAAGTGTACCATTGTGCCCAGCTGCCCCTTATTTATTTGAAAACTCTCACTGTAGCACTGAGCAAGCTTTTTTCATTGGTACACTCTGTTCTGGTACGATTTTAATCTGTTCTGCAGTGTTGTTGCTACTTTTTTTTTTGTGGTCTGCTCAACCCACCCTGGGGGCAGGGCTTGCACAGCACACAGTGCCTGGGATCTGACTGACCGGCACCGCCCACCATCCCTGGGCTTGCCTAAGCTTGTCTAAGCAGGCGCTTTAGACTGCTGAGCTATCTCGCCAGCCGCACCTTGCTACCTGTTGACTCATCATTTCCAGCAGCTAGAAGGTTCCTGTTCACTTCAGGGTTTTTTGTTTCTTGTTTTTTTAATTTCTGTGTTTTTCTTTTTTTTTTGGTGGAACCAGGGATTGAACTCGGACCCTTGCACTTGCCATATTTCTGTGTTTTTGAGATAGGGCCTTGCTATGTAGTTTATTTTTGTTTTTATTTTTATGTATTTAGTACAGGGTATACAGGTTCGCACTACACAGATTGGACTTGTAGTGATTCTCCTGATTTTAGCCTCCTAAGAGCTGGGATTACAGGTGCATGCCACCATGCCTAGTCTGGGTCTCTGTCCTTCTGGGCCCCATGAGCTGGTGTTTTAATCCACTGAGTTATCTGGCCAGCTCAGGTGCATGCCTTTAATCCCAGCTGCTGTTGGAGAGGCTGAGGCAGGATTGAAAGTTGCAGGCCAGCCTGGGATATACACAGTTAGACCTTATCTCTGAATAAACTGTGAAAGGGGTAGGGTGCTTACTTAGTATGTCAAGGCTCTGGATTCCATCTGGGTTCCAATATGGGGGACAAAGAATTAAAGGTACAGGATGATAGCCAAGATGAAATTTGCTCAGAATATGGGGCTGGGGAGATAGCTGAGTAGAATAAGCCCTTGCCTGGCAAGCTCAAGGGCCTGAGTTCAATCCCTGATTCCGGGGGAAAAAAAAAAAAAAAGAAGAAGAAGAAGAAAGA